AAATAAATCTAAGCAAACATCTTGTAGATTTTATACATCCTCATGTTTATAGTTTGAAAGTTAGGTCCCGGCAGGAAAATGGTCACCTTTACAGTCCTCCACCACCCTGCAGAAAACAAAACAAAACAAAACAAAACACGTTTATTTGTGCTGAGGACAGGAAGTGACCAAGCTGTTAATAAGTGTGTGTACAAACATACTATTTTAGCTCATATTATTCTTTTACACACTGACATACATGAGGCTTTAAGGTGTACAGTAAAATTGGAGCCCAGGTGGTTATGGCAAACTGAGATGTAAAATTGTTGCCGTTTATAACACACCTGTGCCCCAAAAACCCTACATGAGTGCAGCTGAAAATGAAGAGGGTGGAGGAGTGTGGTGGAGGATGGGGAGAAAAAAGTGAGGGAGCAAAATGCTCCCACAGGGGGCCAGCTCCCCCGCTGACCCCAGTAGGCTCCCCTGTTTCCCAAGACCCACCCAGGGAATGAGGCTCAGGACCTCTTCCTCCGGACAGACCGACCGCCAGGCCCATAAGGCCCCAGATCACAGACAAACAGAGCCCAGAGGACCACCAGGAAGCGGGACCGACAGTCCACCCGCCCCAGAGCCATCCAGACCCCCAAGACCCGACCCCCAATCCCACAGCCAGCCTGCAACCCAAAGAGGCCACCAAACACCAGCAAGGATGATCCAGCCGAGAGCGCACACCCAGCCACTGACAGCGCAAAGAAGGACCAAGGGCGAGCCTCCATCACAACAAAGGGGCCAGCCAGCCGACGCAGCACAGCCCCCGGCTGCCACCAAGGCTACCCACCCAGCCCCACCCCAGAAGAAATATTTTACCCACCCCATCATTCAGACAACTCTCAACATATAGCACACTAGACACCAAGGCTGGGTTGGCCAATCCCCTCCCATGGGCCACCGGCCCCGCCCCCAGCCAGCCCAACCCTCCAGCCCATGAGACCTGCAGCCCACCAACAGACCAAGGGCCCCCTGCCCAGAGCCAGGCACCGGGGCACAAACCGGCCCAGACCCCGGCAACCCGCCCACCAGGACTCAAGCCCCCCGGCCCCACCAGGATCACAGACCAGGGATGGCACGACCCCAGAACCCTAAGCTCCCCATGCCCACCCCAAACTCACCCCAGCGACCCACGACCACCGCTACAGACCCCCTGAGAACCCACACGCTGCCACCAGAAGACATCCCCCAGAACCACCA